GGGGGGGGGGGGGGGGGGGGGGGGGGGTGTACTCATAGCCGTCCATGCCGTAGTCGTTAGACTATTGACCTCGAATCCCTACAAAGCCGGGACGGAGCACGCCGGGTCCTCACTCGACCAGGCTCTCACATCACCAAGCGCGAGAGGTATTCGGCGTGTCGCATGGCGCCCTAAAGGGAGGAGTGTGTGCTTGAAAAAATGTTTCACAAGGACGGGATTTGCCGGGATTTACCGGCACAAACCGTTGAGTGACAGCCCCCGACTGTCCGGCGACTTTCATGAGGAGACACGTCGTGTCAACTTCGTCTGTGACACCGGCTAGAGAAAACGCTGCTTGGTTCCTGGCTTAGCTGCGTCAATCACTGCAAGGTTCTGGTGGACTCCCCGTTATCCTGCCAGCGATGCACGCCTCATCTAGACACCTTCCCAAGCACAACGTTTCGCTTCACCTGTATCCGGCATCTGTCAGGGGGGAGACGAGCTGCTTTCCGGAGTACCGCGGCACGATCGCAACGATCTCTTCGTCATCATTCTTCAACGCCCCTAGGGAGTTCCGAAGCGCCCGAGCCCGTTCGAGCACGAGGGGGTCGCGAACATCCGGAAACGCCACCTGACCCAGAGGGACGCGGAGGCGGCCGATAAATTCCAATGTTCGTAACTATACACATAACAAGCAGAAAACGGCCCGCAAACTTGAATGTTCGTGCTTGTACATCTACTTGAAGCAATAACCGGACAGGACTAGTTTTCTGCAAAATATGATTCTCGTTCAAGAAGGTGGGCCTGCCAGCGGCATATTGTCGACGACATGGTTGTGCTGACAAGTACCCGGCGAAGACAAACCAGCGACAGGTGTAGTACTAGCACGAACGAATACGCACACTTCATAAAAATGTAGGTGCAACGGGCCAAACAGCCCCCCGCCATCGAAGACAACACCCTTGAAGCTTTCCACGTGCATTGGGCACCATGGTAGAAGGCGCGCCACTTCGCTGCTGTTGCTCAACGACGAAACCAATCCGCTCCGATCTGTTGGCCGTTCTACAATACAGTGTTCCCAGAAGTTCATAAGCCTAAGCAACACTAGAGTTCTTTATGCGTTCACCTCAGTCATAGCTCAAATAAAGTAGACCAACAAGCCCGGCCAGATTAGTCCAACCCGACGTCGTTCATACGCTTTCTTTCATCCTTCGCTGGTAGTGCTCCACACCACGAGACGTGGCACATGATTTACCGTTGTTGAAAACTACGACGCCGGAGCAGCTGCAAACCGGACCTCCTCAACGCTCTGTCGACCCTTCCTGGAGCAGCTGGCTGATAAACTCACCAAACCCTTGTAACACCTAAGTTCCACTCGGCAACCTTTCGACTATTTAGCCCCCGTCAGTTAAGTACCAGAAAGAAAAAAACGTTGACATGAAATACTGCTTCAACGGCCGACTTCAAAGGCAACATGGCGGCGACGACGAGGATGGCACCCACAGCCGGACAACAGCAACAACCGCACGGCTTTCCCAAGATAACACCCGCCCCCCTGCTCCGTCCCGGCTTTGTAGGGATGCGAGGTCAACGGTCTAACAACAACGGCATGTACGGTTATGAGCACACCCCCGCTGCCACGCGTTGCGGGCAAAATCCACCACAGCACTCTCATCTCACCGCATACGCCCGCTTGGCCCCCACGCCCCCCCCACCGGGGGAAGCATCCTCGCTCTCCGCCCCTCCGACAGCGGTGGTGGCGGCGTCCTCGCCGCCGTCCCCGCCGCCGACATCGTTGTCGGCGAGAAAAGCGAGCGACCCACCGCCGGCGCCGGCGCCGGCGCCGCTGCTGCTGCCGCTCCAGCGGAGGCTAACCCCGACCTCCACCACGGCTAGCGCCACGACCACCGTGAGGACAACCGCGGAGAGGAAGGCCAGCCTCACTGCGACCCTCCTCCTTCCGCAACCCCCTAAGGTGGAGGTCGCCGTCGTCGTTGCGGACATTTGCCTGCCGCCGCCGCCGCTGCCGCCGCCGGCGCCGGATTGGGGGGCTCTAGCACAGGATAAATAACGTCAGATCCAGTTGTCCGCGGCGCAACAGATTTCGCCCGATGTCATTCGACAATCTGCATGAAGCTCGAGCCGTCCCGGGTCAACCTGGTCGAACCAATCTTGTCTGACTGATGGCCGAACACCTGATGGCGGCCAGTCAAAACCAAACAAAAGGGGGGATTATCGCCGTCATCGACTGCTGGTGCGTACAGCACGCACGCCCCAGCGACTGGGACCACGCTCGACCCCCGTTACCGCATGTGTGGAGAGTAGACACACGGAGAGAAAAAGTCGTTTTCGTCCCATCCGTCGCAACGCTGCTGCCGTAGGTTCGCTTGTGCGGGCCCGAAGGTCTAAGAGCGTTGAGGGATTTGGCGGCGCGCACAGCGTTGGTTCGTCAATGGTATGGACCCAGATTTGTGGCCTTTCTTCCGACCGTAACTGCAACAGCACGGCCCCAGCAACAGATGTGGGCTTGCAGACGTACATGCCGCTGCTCCATGATGCCCTCTACTGGAATAGACGCGCCCAAGTCGGGACCTCTCCAACGGATATGACCTTATTTTTGAGCACCCACCTTTTCTTGAATAAATAAAGACTGGTGGAAATTTTGGTCTTGGTTTCGAGAGAACGTGTGGGGGTACTGTGGAATACGTGATATGCTCTTGCGGACCCCCCACCCGCTGATCTATGTGGCAACTGCCGGGTGTTTCGCGATTGCTGCGTGCTCGCTCGGTCATGTTTCCGAAATTTCGAGAACAGACCGGCTGTCTCCCTGAACCTTTTTTTTTTTTTTTTTTTTTTTTTTGTTCTTCACTTCAAATCAGCGCTCACAGCACTAGTGCCGTTTATTCCAACCCGTGGTCACACAGAAGAGCCTATCTCTACCTTCCCCTCCTGTGGTACTTCGCCTTCAATTTTTAATGCGAGAAGAGTTCAGCACTCTCTTCCCTCTGTGTACACACGAACTAGCGCTATCCACTTTGGCCAGGAGCGGAAGCGAGAGAAAAACTCACTTTGCAAGAAAAGCTCGCCTACGCCGGGATTCGAACCCTGCCACCGCATGATTCGCCACCGTCATCGTTCTCGCATCGTTCATCACCCCTTGGTGAACGCTACTCTGTGTCCTCATGACAAGAGGATGAGTCCGCTCCGTAGGGTAGCCTACTGCTGTAGACCAAGCACGAACGAATCGATTTCCACCACCCCCACCAACAGAAAACAGGCCCCTGTTTGTGCGGCGTCAACTCCTATCCATATTGTAGATGGGACGAAAACAACAACAACATCAGCAACAACAACATTGCAAAGTGTTTACTCACGAGAGAGATTCGAACCCACATCCTACTGCTACACCTCTGCTAAAAGCAGTAACTGCTGTAAGGCAGTACTGACAGGGAGATGGTTACCCACCACATGTATTTCATGGTACTCAGAACAACCGGCGCTTCTCGACTGCTGTCTGCCATGTGCATAACCAACATCAGCGCCACAACCAAGCAGCTGCACAGCAGTGTTTTAACATCTGGGAGGCTGCCGGAATTGCTCCATACCCCTACCGTGCCTCCGAACGGCATACAGTTGAGCTAAATTATATCGCTCGCTACCTTTCGGTGGGCTACGCCGCCAGAGAGACAGGGAGGAGGATCAGAGTGGCACTCAGCAGGTACGGCAGTACATGAATAGTCGAACCATCCCCGAGAGCTTTGACTGCAAGTCTCACACAGCCATTGGAGTTCCCAAAAGGATCGAGCTGTTTACCTGCTGCTGAAGGAAGCACAGGCCACTCTCTCGTCTTTTCCCCGAGTGTCGTAGATGCTATGGACGTGTCTACGCGGTTGTGTCTGTGGCATCTCTCCAGCTCTCGGACAGTCCTCGGCTTATCCGGATTGGTTCTTGGACATGCAAAAGTATCTCCGATGGAACTCCAAATCTCCGAAGTCTACGCAGAGGAAACCTGCGCGCCAAGATTTCAATTTGCGTCGATCGTCGATCGTCGAGATGCTTCGTGTGTGGCAAACGCCAACGTCATACAGCGGCCTACAGAGGATGAAGATACGGCCGATTTCCCTTTCACGGCCTCTGCGAGCATCAACCGTTGTGCCCTCCTGTTTGTCGCAAGTGTAATATGGGGGTGCACATTCATTCGAGTTTTCAGTCATCATCACCATCCCCTTTGGCTCATCATCATGCACTACCGCTGTTACGAGGGCACACGTCGCGCTCAGATGCACATCGATAGGCAGCCTCGAGAAAGAGAGTGGGGGGAAGGGGGGAGGGGGGATGCCGAAGGTTGGTTGTTGCTGATGCTCACATTCTAATTGTGTAATATACGAAAATCAAATGGAATTATTATGTCTCCTTCCTTCCGTCACTCGACGACGTATCGGAGTACACTCCAGAAGATTTCACACATTTCTTGTAGAAACAAAGTCATCTCTACAACACGAACCATTGGTATCCATCGACCAGAGCGTCTGCACAAAACAAACCATATCTATCCATAGACAAAGTGCGGCATAAATTTACCGATGAAGTTAGTGTCGTACGACCCACACCTGTTTTTCTTCTAATCTCAGAGCAGCATACATGAGTGATGTCTATCTCCCCTGCGGGTGGCTCAACGGATCAACAAGACAGTCTGGTGGCCATCTTATTTCGAAAAAGACCCCATCACGTCAACAACGCTAGTTCGCCTTGTTGTGTGCAACGATGCGCCGCTTCCAAGTGCAAACAAAGCCTGGCTGTGGTAGTACCAATACCTTCAACACAACCAGACCATACACTGCGGTATCGCACCTACCTGTGGACAAAAACTTCGGAGACAACAACAATACTTCACTACCCTAAAAAACCACCCGCGGTCCTAAAAATCGACTGCTGTCCTAACGCGACTATGTGCGGCACATTGAGAGCCTCCAGTTCAGGGCGATGCCGCCGCCAACTAAAACACGACAAAAGCCACACAGTGGCCGGGTCACTCGAGGCGGACGGCGCGAGAGTCGTTCTTGAGCGGCTTGAGGAAGTCCAGGAGCGGCGTCCCTCCCGTGCCCTTGCCCCCGGCGAAGTCCTCCCTCGACTTGGCTTCCCCCGCCTTAAATTAATGGTTGGCAGACACCGCGTCAAGTGGTACACAACACTAGATCAGTACTGGGAGGAGATATCGGAACGGTTTTGAATGCGAAGACAACAACCGAAACACGGCAAACAGACAGACACAACCGGGAGGAAGAAAGGAAAGGTCGACGCGCGCGTGAGAGAGAGAGACTGTACCAAGGAACGGAAATATGTTGACAGCAGTGTATCTCATCGTCAACTGCTGTAGGCCTTCAGGGGCCCCAGCAAAAATGCTGTCCCCTCTTGTTGTGTGCAAATCCCGGAGCAACTTGTCCGGATCCCTACATATGGTGGTTGCGTGGAAGGGTTTGTACGTATTGCAAAAATAAGCTTTCAAGCTCACCAAACAGGCCGGTTACACAAAAGACAAACGAACGGCAAGCCTCCTCAACGATACTCGAAATCCATTCCAATCGATCGACGGTCGCAGCAAATAACCAACCGTCTTTGCCCCGTCGAGGTGCAAGAGAGGTCGACCTGCCACTAATTCCTGGAACGTTCCTAGCAACGGTGCGATTCCAATGCACAAGGACGGAAAAGCTCTGTCTATATTTGTCGTCCGGGTAGCTTTCGCTGGCACCACGTGGGCGACTGCCCGTTTGGTGGCTAAGTTTTCCCCTTAGGACGATGTGGATTCGGTATATCAACATCGCTTCAGATCCGCCTGGGTTGCAGTCGATACTTCACGTCTCTCACCTTCTGGTCCTTCTTCTGCTGCTGCAAAATGTAAGAGCCTACGATGCCCAAATGCGTGCTCCTTTTGTTGGGTGGCGGACGAACGGGAGGCGGGGCAACGGCAAAACGGGGCACCGGTGTGTAAAGGACGTCCACAGGTAGGGGGTCTCATTCGCCACAAAACACTTCACGAGTCGTCTTACATAACGGGAATCGTTTGCGTCGCAAACGGCAACGCTTAAGAGTAGACTACTGTATGCATACATGTGAGGAAACCCCGGGTTCTGCTTGCCGCCCTGGATGACCCTGTTTCCCACAACATGAGAGAACAAGTCGTGCAAAGGCGCAAAGCTCGGATGAAGTGCCAAAAACAAATGAGACAACTCTTGCAAGTCGGAGCATATTCTCACCTGAAATCGCTGAGCGCACCCAAGCACGAGTTGTACGCCTCTCTCAAGGAGGCCGCCGCAGAGGTATCCCCCCCGAGGCAGCCATTTCCCGGTGTCGTTTCGCCACTTTTGACGGTTTCGTCGTCTGGCTGGTCGGCTCCCGTCCCGGCGTCACCGCTCTTCGACGGCAGCGCTTGCGAACTTCTTCGGGCGAAGTTTTGAACGAACCGGCGGATGCTGGGGCACGCGGGGTCCGCGAGGTGTTCCAGCAACCGGCGGTGGCCTGCGTTTTTTTTTTTTTCATGTTCGGCAAGAAAATGGCACGAGGGGGTTGTTTATGAGGGGTGTTGCACGGATGAGAGAGCTACCAGTCTGAGCGACCCGTCTGCGCGCAAGCAGCTGATGCCAGCGTGGTTTATCGAAACGAGGATGATCTTGGCGAAATTGTGTTGACGTCATCGGCAGGTCCTGGCAGGGTTTTTTGCGAAACAATAGTTTGCGAGTACGATACAAAGGCTATGGTCACGATGGGGTTCTCGCGTGGATCGGACGGCGGTTCGCAAGCGGGATGTGCTTTCCCTCAAATGTCGACAAGGGTCGACGATCGCGACGAGTGCTTGATGCGAAGATCGGGGCGGGAGCACATGCCACTTTAGAATACCCGAAACCTCCAAACCTCACAATGACATCGATGTAAACATCTCCAGAAAACTTGACATTTCGAGAGCTCGATTCAACAAACCCAGGACAACCGAACCCTCGGAAAAGCTTCGTCATTGACCACACATCAGCATCACAACTCGAACACGCACACAACGACGACACATGCAGCCGTACGCATCAGGACCAACGAGCGGGCGACGCATCACCCCAGATTATATACCCTATCAAAAGGCACAGCGATCGGTGGCAAACCAGGTAGATAGCTACTCCATCGTGCCCATCGAACTCGACTCACAGATCTCGACCCACAAGAGCTCGAGTGAGCTATATGGGTGCCGGTGCCGCACAAACACCACCACCGCACAAGGACCACCACCCACCTGGAGGCATGTAGTCGCGCATTTCCAGCAGGAAGGCGTTGGACGAGTGCGCCGAGTGGGACACCTCCAGCGCCGCGTCGAGGGCGGGGAACAGGGTGCTCTGAGCCGCGCTGCCGCCGTAATACTGCCGTTTCTTCGAGCTAACACCCTGATGTCGGCACGACGGGGGATGCGGGAGGGGGGCGCGACAAATGTTTGGGAGCCCAATTTTCGATTTCCGTCGGGGCGGGGCGGGGGGAGGGAGGGAGGGGGGGGGTACACAGGGGTAAAGAGAGGTAGGGTCGGTTGGGAACCTGCTTGCGCGGGTGGCCACCAAGCGAGGACGACATCTCCTACAACACCACTGGGCACTATAATAGAAACTAAACACATACCAGCTGGATTGGTTATTCTCTCCTCTACGCTCCTCCCAATCTACACGGTGATGGCATCGGGCTGCCGCCGCGGTGGCGAGTAAGAGCGGTGGATCGATCGCCGTAAGCCCGATGGGGATGGGTTGTGCAAGGGAACTTTTACGGTCATATATCGAGAACCGCGCTATTCGCGACCGCGATATATCCGGACCACTACCACCGCTGTACCATACCTCGTACACCACCCCGTCGGGGAGGGTCGGGTTCGCCTTCCACCCGGACAGAAAAGGCCTGACCCGCTGGTAGAAGATGAGCGGGTGGCACCCGACCGGCATCCTCGCCAGAGCCTCCCGCATGCTCACGATCCCGGCGCGAGCCACGGCGAGGGCCTCCAGCACCACCCCCGCCACCGGCGATGCATCGCTGCCGCTGTCAGCCTCTGCGATGGCGTGTTGAGCCTGCCTGGGTAGTAACGTAGTAACGCAAAGGCTTGGTCTTGGGGCAGATAACAATTCGTCATGTTCGGGTAGTTCGATTTTTGATCACTGAAGGGGTCCGAGTCAGTTGGACCAGTACGGATAATAGGAGGTACTGAGCGGAGACCGGAACGGTTGCATAATGTGAAGACAACAACAACACGGAGTGGAGATTCCCGAGGGGGGGGGGGGGGGGGGGGGGGG